ACAAATCTTGGGGCACAGTCTGCTTGAGCGTGACTGTCGAACGCGGTATCGGGGATTTCTGTTCCTGCTGTAAGTGTGCGTTCCCCATTGGTATGTCTGGCAGCCGCGCGCTTTCTGCAGTCCCCCGGAACAGACATCGACCCGCCTGGGGTTGTCGCACAGCTGCTGTTCTCCAAATAGCACCTCTTGTTCCATCTGCAGATTTTGTCTGCGTAGAAAGAAAAACACATCCGTTTGTCCCGGATTTTTCCCCTACCTGACAGCTGTGGTCCGGCTCCTGGCCGTATCGAGTTCCTGGGCCGCTGACCCAACATCAGCTGTGTGGAGTAAGCGGCTAGTGCGCACTGCGAGTCCCGCGAGCTCCTTGCTTCCTCTGTTCAGAAGGTGCCACAGATCCAGCACGTTTGCAAGTGCACCCACAGTTATTTTATGTATATTCAATACGTCCAGAGCACGCTGGAGTCATCGTGCAGCCAATATAGGCCGCTCTAGACATGCCCGGCAGTGCTTCCAAACCGTTTTGTATTTGCAAAGTTACACCAAGTTTGTGTTTTAAACAATATTGGTCTTAATGATGTTGGGCATAATAAGTCATGTAGTAAAACCATTTTTTTCTGATAGACATACTTTTTATCAACCACTAATAACTGAGATCCATAATCCTTATGTTACTAGGTTTCATTGCTTTTGCAAATTACGGCACATCAGTAATATACTCTGAAAATCAAAATTGTGTCTACATTTTTCAAAATTAAATGTACAAGCAGAGTTTTCTGGATGCATAATTTTAAAACATCATGTGCATAAGGTAAAGTTGCATAAAATAAAGTTCCAACTGTATTGCAAGGTAAGCAGTTTTCTTGTTGACCACCTGTACTGTGTTGGCTGACCTAAGTGAGAAGCCCATTCTCCAGTCAACGGACATTATTTTTTCAAGTAATGAAAAATTACATGAAAAGAAAATTAGCATAAGTGTAACATAATTGCTGGAGTGTTTTTATCAATTTAAAATAGAGGCTGCTAATGTAATATCTCCTTATCTCTCTTGGACTACGTTATAGTTTGCAAAGTGCTGTGATGTATGTATTAATTTTGGTGTGCATATTAATTTAGACACTGACTATGCATATGTTATAATGTAATGAATCTATAATTATGCAGTGTATTACGCTGACAAATGTACTGTATACTGTCAGGCAATAGAACACCAGCTGAAGATCTGTGGCGTTAAGAGGAATGTGGATGTCTTAGTATTGTATCTGGCTGGACAGTAAGTAAAATATGTTTCTCCGTTTGGCTTTTACTAGAAGTAGAGAACACAGTAAATGGTAACTTTTCATAGTGCTTTCTGTATCAGATACTCTCTGAACATCATTTATATGTGAAATACCAGTAAATCATATTTCTACCTAGTCCATACATGTTGTGTAGGAAGAAATGGTGAAGATACACTGACACACACAGCAGAGCTATACTCACAGTGAAGTAGTTAACTGCCTCAGCCCTAGATACACAATCCTTCTCCAGCAACTCAGAATTGCTTGAGGGTCTGTAAGTTCACAGAGTTGGGCATGAACTTCTACCACAGGGAGTAGAATGAGGCTTAATGGGCTGATCTCTGCCTGTTCTAACTGGCTTGTAAGGGTGGGTGGAAAGAGTATCAAGAAGGCAAATGAAAAAACACAGGACCTGCCCAGTCTAAGAACTGCCAAATTTCTGACCTCCCTGAAGAAATCTGTTATTGCAACAGTAAAACTCATTGGTAGCACCTTTGAAATTACCTACATCTCTACTCTTAAGAATTGAAAGGAGGGCAGGGCAACATGAAGTGAGTACAAGTACAGGAACGCTTATTTGGGGCTGGCAGTATTGATCAGAGAACTGATCTCCTCTGAGAGCTTTATGAAACACCTCAAGATGTAGGGCAGATGAGGAGAAGAAACCATGCTAAGTGAAGGAAGGCAAAGCTTCCGTGAAGCTGTGGGTGATCTAGGTTGATAGAGGTGTATGTTGTAGGATGAACATGCTGAGAGGCTACCATAGAAAGGTGGATACTTGACAGGACATACTTCAAAGTTTTTGGAAAGCATACTTTGAATTTCTGGCCAGGGCATAATTCCAAGTGTTGCATACCTGTCTGCAGCCTCACAACTGCATCTAGTGTTTGTATGATTGATATCATATATAAAGAACTAATGTAGTTTAATAATTCAGGGACAAGGTTTTCAAGGTCTCTAGGTCCTATGAATGCAAAAAAAAAAAAAGGTGATAAGGGATTTCAGTGTTGTCTAGCCTGTTTTTAGTGGAAATCAGGTGGTCTTGAAAATCTAAATGTGCCCCCTAGTATCTTTAAATTCCTTAGCACATCTCCTGATTTACACCAAGCAAGTTTTTGATGCTTTGTGAAAAGAAAATGTAAAACATATAGTTACTGTCAAAATTATTAAAATATGTATTTTAGAAAGAAGAAGACATACATAAAATCTAAGGGAGAAGTTTAAATAATGAGAAAATTACAAGATGCATATATATATTTTCTAGACAATCCAAGAAAATTGTTATAATGCGTATGTGTAAAAGAATTAAGACTGTGTAGACAGACTTAATAGGCACATTTTCTGATTTTAAATACTTAAATGTGTGCCCTCCACTGGCTTTGAAATATTTTTTGGTATGGAATAAAAAGAAATGTTCAGATGGCAGATATAGAAGTGATCTGTCTTCTCATGAAACGATTTTGAGAAAGATGATGCAAGCCGGCTTCTTTGATGATTGGAGAGGAGTGAATTCCTTTTATTCTATAGCTATTTATATAAACCTTGAACATCAGCCAATCTCAGTATCAGATCATGCCTCCTTAACTGTTGGTTTGACATAATTTTCTGCTGGCTGAAATAAGAAAATGAAAAAATAATAATTAAAGTCAATCAAATAAGAGGGAATGAGTTTTTATTTTTAAACCACTACTATTAAAAGGACATGAAAAAATGTACTTTTGGACACTGAAAGCTGTCATCCTAGGAAAACTGATTAACTTAGAGGTAGGTAGGAAGAGAGTGCTGCAGGCCAAAAAGGATCAGTTTGTAAGAAACATGCAAAGTCTGGAAGGCATACAGAAGGGGACAGGCTCTTTTAAAATGTTAGAGGAATTAAGCTCTACCTGGGGCAAATTAAATGCCTTAATACCAAAAAAAAACCCAGATCAAGGCTTGGAGATAGTCAAGATGAGGCTGTTACTAGAGAGGGAGTAAAGCCAATTAAAATGTAGACCTGTAAATGAGGTATAGAACGGCAGTGACAAAGAATATGAGGAAATTTTGGCTTTGCTACCTGAAAAATAGTTCAGGGACATACACTTAGAACTACACAGAAGAATTAGATAGTAGGTCTGCAAGAGCTCCATATGTCCTGTCAATACTCATCTGCTTGTCTTTACTACTTGCAGTAATATATTTTCTGATTACTTGTGTCAATAGACACATAAATACATACTTGCAGGGTTTGTTTTTGTGGATTATTTGAGGAAGCCAAATAGTTTAACAAAATAGCAGCATGGGATAATCTGATTTTCAGACATAGAGAAGAATAAAAGGACAGCGCCTCAACTTTGTAAGGTTTGCTCTTGCCAGATTTTCTTTTTTTCAAATGCAAGATCAGAAAAGGTGTGCACTCCCCCCTTGTCTGTGTCTGGAGGGTTTGTTGGAAAAAAAAACACCAAAACATGGGAAACTAGAAAATAGGCTTCACAGTTGGAAAACAGGCAGATCATTTTAGGCTGATGATGTGAGGTTAATTTTTAGCAATCCTCTTAGTTCTTTCTGAAACACTGGCCCTAGTCTTGCAACATGTTAAAATCCATGAGGAAAGTTTTATTAAGTCAATTAAAATTTGTCCTCTAAAGGTCATCTGTAATTATTCTAGAGGAAATCAAGAACATTGATTAAAGCGATGAAAAATAAGGAGGACCAATTAGTGAAACTAATATTCTCTGGTTAGTAGGTAATTTGTTATTTATAGTACACTAGCAAGCTCAAAGTGCTAGATACACAATTAAACAAAAAACCCTACCAGCACATAGGAGATAGTTCCAGCCTCAGTGGATGTGCAGTTTTATTTAAAACAAAACTGTTAATGAATATGAGTAAATACTAAGTTTATATCAGGACAGGAGAGAAGAGGGGTGAAAAAAGGGCAAAAGATTTCACAATATGCACTAATATGAAAAATAGTAAAAAGTGTACATTGACGTGCTTGGCGTCTGTCTTCTGTTGGCTTCTCTGGCATTGTGGCTGGACAATCCACACTGCACCTTCAAAGCGATTTTCCTTTTAGGTTTGTGCCCCCAGGATGCCAAACTTCTCCTCCTGTGTTCTGAGCAGTTTCTACAAACTGACTCATACTCCCTGGGAAAATAAATGCTGTCATGGGAAAAAAAAATTGATTTATCACTTTGTTCCCATTTCTTTACCACCTGCTGCTTTGTTATGCTTTCAGGTGTGTAGAATGCTTACACTGTCTCTGCCATCTTGTTCTTTGCATCTTTCTCTGCTATGATTTCTACTGAAGTGTGGCTTTTTAGTGCTTGTATAATATTATTTATGAAAAATTCAACTGTTTATAAAGTGATTAAGCACCATTAATGTTAAGAAATTTGTCACTCTTTTTTTCTTCCACCAGAGGACTAAGAAGTATCCCAAGTCTATCACAGTTTCATAGGTTAAGGTATTTGTGGATTAACAACAATAAGGTAATAAGGTATTCCTTTAAAGAGCAGAACAATGCATCTATACTCCCTGCTTATTATTTTGTAATTTTTCTAACATAAAGTATTATATAATTGTCAAGCTAATGAATTATTTTTAATTTCCAGCAAATTTAACTGATATAAATATGACAGTTTTGAAGAAACAGTATTTTGTTTCACATTACAGAGTATAAGCTGATATATTTTCCTTTAGATTCACATGACAGTTATAAATTTTGTGTCTTTAAGAAGCTGACGTTTTGTGCTAATACCTTAGCAATAAAAAGGAAGATTGAGTATATTTAGAACTAAGTTATTGGCAAAATTGCCTGATAGCGTTTTGATACCTGAGGTCTGGGATAGCAGTTTCCAGTGTAGCTCATAGTGAGTATACCCCACCCACCAGAGCGGGCAGCTCTTGGAACAGACCGAGGGGTGATATGGCTGTAAGGTATTCTTATCACAACTTCTGGGCTTCCTAGTTTTTCAGGAAAGGAGTGGACTGCAGGAAATGTGTAGCTCTTTTTTTATGCCCTTGCAGACATGCATCGTTTATTTCCTGGCAGGCTGGTGGTTGAGGTGAGACTCCTTTTTGCCCTCATGCACACAAGAGTGACATATAACTCTTTCACATGTGCTTCTCCCTGTGCGCAGGAAGTAGCATTGCAATGCTGGGGCTGATGGGGTATCTTCTGCCGTTATGCAGGCTGTTGTGTCACCTAAACTTGTTCGATCTAAGAGAGATTTCCAGGCGAGTGATTAGAGTATGACATCGAGCCGCATTAATTTCTCTTGTATCCAATGCGCTGTATGGTCCTAAATCAGTTACACAAACCACGTGCCTTACTTTCTCCATCTGTGCAAATCTAGATTATAGTATTATATCCTGTAGGGGTTTTAAGACAATGCTCTGTCAAAATCTCTGGACACTACGGTTTCCAGCCAAGTCTAAGCACATTGTATCTTACACAAAGTCATCTACTTGACAGTAGAATTATCTGATTTAGAAATCCCCAAATACATAGCCAACCATTATTAAGCGGTTGAATTGAATCCAAACCTTTACCATTAGCCAGGTAATTAAAAAGCAAGAAAAGTGATAAACCCCACAGATTTCTAACGTGCTTTTAAATATCTTACTGTACGGTAGTTTACATGACTTTCACAGTGGGCTCAGGTTCTTAAAACACCAGAATTGCTTGCTCAGGTAAATAAGTAGCTCTGTGAGCGGCAGAAAAAATAAATTTACATTCCATGTCACTTAGGAGTGTATGTATATCTGCTGCCCCAGGCTAACATCAATTATAGAGCATCTTATGTCGACTTCATTGAAAGACCTGTGGTTATCCAGCTATTTTCAAAAAAAACAAAAGTATGGATGCATTAAAGGTTGAACTAAAATCACAGGTATAATAAGGCTTTCCCTTGTATTTCTAAAGGACACTAAAGAATAAGAGGAAATGGCCTGATGACTAAGCAGAATGGATCTGGCTGACCATAAAAGATAAATAAATCTGATTTTTGCACGGATCTCACTTTCCTACCTAAGCAGTAACAAAAAGCATTCTTCTGTTGTTCTATACAACTTGTGTGGAAATGTCATTTTCTATATAACTTGTGTGGAGAAGCCACTCAGTGGCTTTTCTTAGGAGAAGTCTCAGCTAAATGCTTTAATAAGAGGAGCATATTTTTCTGAACTCAGAAGAACTGAGATCTTTTTTTCTTCCCTTAAAAATGCATCACAATAATTTTATCACAAAAAAGTAAATTTCAGATGATCCTAAAACAACCGAACTTGTCAAAGATAGAGAAACACCACTATATACAAAAGGTATGTGTGGGCTTTACACTATACAAGATACAATAATCATTGTGAAGAGTAGGATTTTTTTATTTGTAGAATATTGCTGTTTTCACTGAACCAGGCTTTTCTGAGGTGAAGCAAGACTCAGAGAATGGTATTATTTTCAACTTTAAAGTATCTTTTCTCAGAGGATTTCAGAGAACTTCAGGAATGGAAAAACCTGTGTCATATTCTCCTCCTTCCAACTTTCAGATACTGTTAATACACAGAGCAAAGCACGTTTGTTTTAAAATCAGTGGCACAATTCAAGGACTGAAATCATTCCCCCACTAACAAATGACTTTGCATCACAGAAGTCAAAGTAGTGTCAGGAATAAAATTCTGTTTGTTGTTCTTGCATTTAAACTGTAGGATGAATACTTAGGCACCATTAGTACTCCCAGTTCTCAACTATTACAGTGGTCAGCTTGGTATCCCATTGCATATACTTCACCTTGCATTGAAGTCAAGACAATATTAGAAGTGAGCTCCTCCGAGCAAGGGGATGAGATTTTTTCATAGGGACCAAAGATACAAGGACCAAGTGCATGAGATTCAACAAGGCCAAGTGCCGGGTCCTGCACTTCGGCCACAACAACCCCATGCAGCGCTACAGGCTTGGGGAAGAGTGGCTGGAAAGCTGCCTGGCGGAAAAGGACCTGGGGGTGTTGGTCGACAGCCGGCTGAACATGAGCCGGCAGTGTGCCCAGGCGGCTAAGAAGGCCAACGGCATCCTGGCCTGTATCAGAAATAGTGTGGCCAGCAGGAGCAGGGAAGTGATAGTGCCCCTGTACTCAGCACTGGTGCGGCCGCACCTCGAATACTGTGTTCAGTTTTGGGCCCCTCACTACAAGAAGGATGTTGAGATGTTGGAACGTGTCCAGAGAAGGGCAACGAGGCTGGTGAGGGGTCTGGAGAACAAGCCTTATGAGGAGCGGCTGAGGGAGCTGGGGTTGTTTAGCCTGGAGAAAAGGAGGCTGAGGGGAGACCTCATTGCTCTCTACAACTACCTAAAAGGAGGTTGTAGCAAGGTGGGTGTCGGTCTCTTCTCCCAAGTAACTGGCGAAAGGACGAGAGGAAATGGCCTCAAGTTGCGCCAGGGGAGGTTTAGATTGGATGTAAGGAAAAATTTCTTTACTGAAAGAGTAGTTAAACATTGGAACAGGCTGCCCAGGGAAGTGGTTGAGTCACCATCCCTGGAAGTATTTAAAAGACGGGTAGATGAGGCGCTTAGGGACATGGTTTAGTGGGCATGGTGTTGTTGGGTTGATGGTTGGACTCGATGATCTTGGAGGTCTCTTCCAACCTTTAATGATTCTATGATTCTATGATTCTATGATTCTATGATTCTATGATTCTATGATTCTATGATTCTATGATTCTATGATTCTATGATTCTATGATTCTATGATTCTATGATTCTATGATTCTATGATTCTAAGATAACTCTTTATTGGGAATATACCCATACATACATTTTTCTTCTGTAATTGTAATTGATTCTGTAAATCTGATTAAATGTAATTTTTGGAAATTTAGAACAGATATGTTCTGATGAAGAAATAATTTTAAAACTAGATGCTGGGCTTATTCCAAGGATATATTTCAGGAGTATTCTTAAATCAACATAGAATTATTACATCCTACAAGGATGTTCTCACAGTAAAAAATATTTCAAATGTGAATAGAAGTAAAAGAAAATGTGAAGACCAGTAATTCAATGAAATCTGTTAAATTTTAATATTGAAATATTATATTTGTAGTTCAAAAAATTAGGTAGGGCTGTGCGACGTGTATTTGATGTGTAATTAGTATTTCTAAAGAAGGTTCAGCTGTCAAGAGAATATGTAAACCAAGAGTCTTAAACAGAAATATAAGAAACTACCTATAGTTAAACAGTTTTCAAGAGGCCATATTTATACTTCTCCAAAGTCAAATTTAGACTGACATGTAACAGTTTTCCTAACTCTAATTTCAGATCCAGGATTTAACTTTCTTGATCAAAAACTATTGCTTGACTGAACTCTATCTCAACAATAATGAACTGACAGATATATCAGGTACCAATCTTCCCTTTTTAGGTTGTTGAGCAGAGGCCTATACTTTCTTTTCTGTGTATTGGCATTCAAATTTATAAAAGTGAATGACAGCAGGTAACTTAATGGTTGAAGGCTCCTATGTATGCGTAACAATACATGGTAATTATTTTCTTAGAGATTTGATTGTTCCAGCATACTTGAGTGGCAATAAGGTGATATGTTTATCCTGTCATTCACTTTAATGTCAGGCAATTGTAAAATATTTTTGATCTTACATGACCGTATTTCATATTGAAAATGAAGATGCAGAGCTCTTTTTACATGATGATTTGTAGTCCTGTTGCTGACCAGGTACTCCGTAAGCTGATAGAAGTACCTTTTGAGAGCTATTTATGTTTACATGATGAAAAACTAATAGTAGTGCTGACAGACTTAATATGAAAATAAAAGGGTAACAAATTAGTAAGTTGTCCCACTTGTAAGGTAGTCACTAAGGTTCTGCAGTTTCTTCATGATATAGTTACATTTATAATCAGAAGTATTTTACAAAGTTACTGCAAAACTGTTTTATTGTAAAATTGCATGTCTTACACTTCTATTTCAGTTGTGCTTGCTCTTGTAGATTAAAGTGGCTGTACCAGACTAGTGAATTCGTGAATGAAGAGGCCAAAGCATAATAAATTTTTGTATATTTTAGACATTTTAGATGTTAATATTTTACTTCTCTCTCTCCCTGTAAAATGTTGGGATGAGAAATGATGTTGATTAGTTTCTGTGAGATTTTCAGAAAAATTAATGTTTGAAAGAAGGAAACACATGGACACAAGAGACAATACAGAAGATACCAAAATATGTGTAAGCAGAAGGGCAAGTGTCATTGGTAGAGAAATGTGGATGAGAAATACTGTATAGAATTTGGAAAATGAGATGTCTAAGCCTGATGTGGTGTGAGGATGTGAACACATAGTCTGGGTCAGCCACAACAATATTTTATAATAACTTTTTAATACATTAATAATTATTTGAAATTGAACTATTTTCTAAGGAATTCACTATTTATTGCTTGTGAGGCAAAGGTAGTATTAGGGATATACTGTTGTTTGTGAGGCAAAGGTAATATTAGGTAAGGGTAAAAGGAAGTGAAGAGGAATTAATCATTAATCCAGATTACTGGGATGTTAAGATTACTTCCAGATTACTAGGAGGAAGGAAGGGAGGAAGAAGAGAGGATGCAGCTGATGTTGATGTGTTGAGGCAAGGGTGATGGGGACAAATGGGAGGAACTGGAATGAAAAAAGCTAGGCATATGTTCAAAGGATGTGGCTAGAAAGATGAAAGGGATATTGAAATCTCTGATAATATTTTTTACTAATCTCATGCAAGGTGTTACCAAAAGGCAAGCATAGATGGATAATTAGAATATCAAATTCAGTGTGCAGCATAACGAAATAATTATCTAATAAAGGCAGTCAGGTATGGTGAGAATAATTAATTATTTTTCATTTTATTTCAGGTGCTCTGAAACACTTATGTGCGTTACAGATTCTGTTGCTTCACAACAACCAGTTAAAAAAACTTGATAAAACAGTGAAGGAATTGAAAGGAATGATAAGCTTGCAGACCCTAAGTAATACCTTATTTTTATTTTGCAGAACAGTGAGCTGTAGTTTTTTAGTGTTTCTTATCAGGATGTTTCTTGTCTGTTTCCTCATCATTTGCCAATAGCTTTTGAAGCTAATTATCAATTTCAACCAAATTTGACAGAAGAAAGAGATCTCTAAGACATGAAAATTCCACAGAGAGTACCTCAACTAAGAAAAACCTGCCAAATAAGTTCAGAAGTTAACTCTTTTTGGCTGCTGGCTAGCCTGTCTCCTGGATGAGTAGCTTGGAGGCAGTCAAAGCAGTTTACTGCTACCTTTTTGTAAGGAAACATGGGAGTACAGTGAGATTATCGTAGAAGTGAATGGAGTTGAGAAATGGGTGTTATTGCTGTTGAGAGTGTGACTGATAGGTTATAGAACCCAAATTCCTACCTCATTAATTCTGTTGCTTATAGAACTTACTTTCTGCATCTTTTTGGCAGGCTCTGTGGATTTCTAGAGTCTTAAGAATAAATACACTTTAGCTATTAACTATAACAATATCTGTTAAGTAGCATACTTTTTGATACACTGGCTGGAAATGAAAGTAGCATAGATCTGAAATTTCAAATTAAGTTACACAAGACAGCATTGGCCCCACTAAGTTACAATCTAAGAAGTAGCCTCCAGGGAGAGTAGGATTATATGCTATTAACCTATTGAAAGTGAAAATGTAAGCAGTCTTTTTTCCATGGTACCTAAAAGAATGTTGTCATAGGTCATGCCAAACGCTCAGTAGTTTGAGAAAACAGGAAACAAGTTTCATGTCTTAGTGACACAATTAATGGAGGTGAATGTCATCAAGCCATACCTCCTTATGCATTCAAAAAATTGAATGTCTGATTGCGGGGAAAGGAAAATATGGCTTGAAAAGTACACTTTGAACTTGACACTGAGCCAAAATTAAAAACCAAATAAAATGTTTAGGAAGACAACATGCCAGCCAAATTATTGTAATTTTTTTCATTATATGCAAGATTGAAAAAATAGTCCATTTAAGAATGCAGTTGTTTGAAGTGATTAGGCAAAGTCTGGACAGACATCGTATGTATGAATGGTGCAGTCACTTGAATTTAATTTTATAGCCCTACCAATTAATAAGGAGCTTCAACAAGCACAGGGAGTTTGTTGTACTTGTTGCAACCGTCTGTGGGAAATAAAGACAAACAGCAGATAGTTAAAGTGCTGCCGAGTTATTATGAATGGCAGTCACAAAGATGTAGTGAAAATTGGGTGCATATTGGACTGGCCACCACCATAGAAAAGCAAGTGTTTAAGAGAACTGTCAAACAATATATAGAATATACCAATCTACCCTGATAAAAAAATCGGGTTTTAGTTCGAAGACATGAGAGTAAATGCTAATCAGTGGAAGAAACTTAATAACCTTAATAACCTTAACTTTACAGTCATTCCTTTTTGACCTTTACAGTCATGAAAAAATTGCCAGTGTGTTTGTTTCAAAGAGATTTCATAATAATGAGTTCTCAAATTAACAGGTCTCTATTGGTTTAATAAAATGCACTGTCATATTTGAAGTAAATGACAGCAGTAAATGAACAAAATAAATTTTAAAAGTCATATCCTATGTATCATATCATATTACTATATAATTTGTTTGCCTGCTTGCAATATTAAGAAATTTGAAGTGGGTGCAGAATTAGCACTGTGTAGCTTTGAAAAGGCCTGTGCCCATAATTCACCTTTATAAAATAAAAACTGTTTTGGGAATAGGAGAGTTCTCATTGTTGTGAGGTAGATCTTCTTTATCGCTGGACAGTCCGATTAAAAAAAATAATTTGCTAGCTTTCAACAGAACTTCTGGATACATAATAACATTTTATTATTTTGTAGCTCTTGGGGACATTAGAACTATTAAAATGGGGCAGTCTAATACACTATTATTGTTCACTTCAGAAGTGAACAATGCTACTTCAGAAGTAGCATCCAGCTGCCAAAATGTTGCATTTCTCTTCCTTAAGGCTCTCTTGTGATTTTTAGCCACTGTCCTGCACTGGATTTGTAGCATAACACCATTCCTCATCAGGCCTTTAGGGAAGACACTCAGCTTCTCAAGATTTACTGAATGGGTTGCTCACAACTGCAGCCTTTTGGGAGATATGGAGGGTTTCTTCATGGGCTCACCTCGTGCTCACATCTCCCTTTTGGAATCCAAGATTTTTGTTATGTACTCTGTAAATTGCCTCAACTGATTTATTATCCACAGCTGATAACATCTTGCTGCTAGACCTCAGAAAACTCCTTTTGTTCTTCACTATGTTTTTACAGCAGTAGTTCCTTTCTGCCCTGTGTGGAATAGGCACACTGTTTTCTTACACTCCAAATAGAGAAAACAGACAAAACTGTGGAGGAAGAAAGCATTATTCCTAATTTGTAGAAGTAAAATTGCATGACCTTGACAAGAAAGTAGATAGCAGAGCCAAGAATTGATCCCAGATGTTTTGTAAAATAAGACCATCTTGATCCATACAATGGTTGGATTTATTATAAGAACGAGCAGCAGAAAAATTCATATGCTCTAAAACAAACCTACAAATCAGTGTTGATGAGGAGGGACATGCTCCAAGTAGCATCCAGATTCAGAAGTACTTACTATCAACCCCGGTTTGTGCCTTGGAAAAATCTCTCTTGAATCTTCATTCCATTCCACTACTGCTTGAGACACCAAACGTACCTGCTTTTGGAGATCTTTCTGAAATACTTTTCTCTCTGGAATGCTATGACATATTTTCTTGACTCAAGAACAGACTTATCAAATATATACCTAACATTCTTTCTGTTAACACTTTCTAGAAAAAATAGCTATATACTACTTTGTTTGGTAAAAATCGGACTTCCTTTTGTTGCCACCATGTGGGTCTCTTACTACTTCTAAGTACAGTGTTTTTTAAAAACTTGTTAAAGAATTAAAATATTTTAAGTTCTCCTCTGAATACATGAACAAGCATTTTCTGTGTAGGAGATACCAAATGTCCGTTCCAGCCTTACTGCGCCCTCAAAATAACTGCAAAATCGCATCAAACACTGAGCCCTCTTTGGCAGTCATACTTATCCTGAAGAACAAGAAATGACATCTTGTAGTTTACAAATCTGTGTGGAATATTTCCAGACTTTTTTCTTCTTCTAATATCTCTTATTTGCTTCTGTAATACCATCTTGCCCTCCCTAACTGCTAAAATGACATTAACAGAGGATTTTTTTGCCCTAGAGTGAATATTAGCCACAGCCTCTCCTCATAGAGAAAAACAGGCCAGTGTAGAACTTGGTGGAAGTTGTCAAAATTATTCATTTAACATTTGTTTTCCCTGCTCTGATCTCAGGGTAGCAGCCTCCCGATTATTTTTACTTTACTGTCCCAGAAGAACAGAATTTGTATAGTGAGAAAAATAGCATTATGATGTTTTTCATTCAGGGAAAAAAACACCCAACAACACTTGTTTGTTTGTTTGCTTGTTAGCTGATCTGGGAATGAGCCAGCTTCTATTTTAATCAACCTCAGATACCACTCTCATGAAACAAACTGATCTGGCATGTCAGCTAGGCAAATGTTCCACATCTGGCAAAGCAGTAACACAGCATTGATGCCTGTCTCTTGTGTTGCAAAGGTTTGATTATTCAGGTAATGTGAACCTGAACATAAGTATTTTAGTTGAGTTGCTAATGAGCTTTTGGAGCTTAGTGCCTCAAGTCTCAATGAAAGTTAGTGGGACCCAGGTTCGCAGGAGCTTAGGCCCTTTTAAACATTTTACTCTTTAAGTTTCTTGAGTTTTCAAACTCATCATCTTTCAAAACATCAGAAGGCTGGGTATTTACATTTTATGTTGTGTCTATGGGATAAAAGCTTTGTATCAGCTATGATAAAGCCTTAGGTGTCCTAAAGCTCATCTGGTTTTAATAACTCTCTCCCCCTACAAATTTTGTGTCTTACCTTTCAGCTGTCACACCTAAAAGACTACTATTATTTAAAATAGGCATCACCTAACAATACATAAGAAAATCAAAGGCAAACACTTAGTGGTTTTGTCTGTATATCATAAAAAAATAGAAAAAAAACTTTGAAGTTTTGGAGTGCATGATGGCACCTTTACGCAGTTCTTGCCTGTGGTATTTTGCATACTCTGCAATAAGCCAATTCTTGCAGTCCGTGTTTAGTTGAGTAGTTTTGCATGTGTAAAGAGACTGTGCTTTGTTTACCTCGCATAAGAACAATTTGAATTTGATAATATTTTGTACAAAATCTTTGGCTACTAGTCATCTTTAATTTTCCTGCCTTGCTAAGTTAGTTGTTTTGCTGGGTTTGTTTTTTTGTGGTGGTGGTTGTTTTTTCTGTATACATTTTGCAGACCTGTTCCATAACCCTCTGGCACAAGACCCAGACTACCGGCTTTATGTGATATACTTCCTTCCTTCAGTACAGCGCCTTGACAGGAAGTGTAAGGATTGCTTTCCTCTTCTCACAAAGCATTGACAGTTGCTTTTGATTTTAATCAGTTTGGAAAAATAGGTGAATTAATCTTGCCTGTTCTTTTACATGCACTTGTTGATGTAGCAAAAGATCTAATTAACAGATACCCATTTCTTGCAAGATTTGTCAAGCAAATAGACTTTGCATGGCATAAACAGTTTGCTTTGCCAAATGCTTTTGGTTTCTGTCTTTTTCTATTTAAATTGTGTATGTGTATGTTAATCTTGTATCTTGGTCTATATATTTTTTGCGTAAGACAGATAAAAGCCTGTGCTTAGAAACATGTACCTACGTTTGTGCATTCAAACTAGTATATTCACATGGGTGAGTGTGTTTACTTAGATATGGATAATAACCTCAGCTATCTACATGTTTCTGTACAGTTTAAATATGTATATGCACATTTCTTGATGAGGTACCTGCTGACCAAGTTTTCAGATATAAATCTTCATAAATCATCAAGAGATCTTTCACAACTTGTCTACTGTAAATTCTACAGAAAAAAATTGTTGTAAGAATAGCCAGATGATAAATCAGTCAATCCATAAATATGCCACAGCGGATCCAGAAAATCAACTTTGGTGATTTTTGTCTCTGGTGTTTGGAGAGCTGTGATTGGCAGGAGGACTGAAAATTACTGGAGAGCACTGGGAAAGGTGTCGATTCCTACCCCAGCTCTACCTTGTAAGAAAGTAGTGAGGAGAAACAATGCAATCTTGAAAGCCTGCTCCCGGCCTCTAGGAGAACCAGGATGCAGGACTTGAGCAAGGCAGCCACAGGACACCTGCAGGTTCTGGCAGACTGCATAGCTCTGTCGTGAAGGAAAGCTGGTGGATGGGCCACAGCATGTGTCAGGGGTCGATGAGGAGCTGCTGGATCTGACCACATGTCCATTTGCTTACACATTCATTTTGCACCGGTACCTCCAGTCTCTTGAATATTTGGTCTTGTGTTACACCCGTGCTTAGCAGGTCTGTCAGACTGTTTTACTAATGATCATTTTTGACTAGGGAGCGATGACTGAAGCTTAATGTGCTGGAAAATATGTGTTGCATTTACAGCTCTAGAAACACTTCCATAAAGATTCCTGGACTTAATCTCCTAAATACAGTTATACTGTAATCAGTCCTGGATTAAGACTTGAGGCATTAATTTGTGTCAAGCTGTACCCCGGACTTTCTATTTGGTGAACTATTTCTCTGACATTACAAAGCTTCTTCACCATCTGTGGAACATTACCACAGCATAGTCCTGGCTGTCTCCTTTACATAAGACATGTGCTCACGCTTCTGTTACCTCCAGGCATGACTACTGCAGTTCCTTCCTAATTGGTCCTCCAGACACCATGACTTAAAAACTTCCCTGAATTCAAAATGCTTCTGTTCTAAACCTTTAGCTCACTTCTGTTCCGTAGCTGAAGTACTAGATTAGCTTGCAGTTCATGTCATTGAAGTTAACATCCCCTATTTGACTTAACAACCTCAAACTCTTTGTTTAAAACTTAAAGTTATTTTTGAATTAAACTGCAAAACAGGAAAATTTGAGGCTTTTCTTTTGGTTGCACTCATACAGTTTTCTCTGTAATTGAGTGATGGGAATTGAACTGGCCTTGAACTAGGACTTGTTTTTGCTATTCACAGAGAAACTTCCAAATCTTTACTGATTTCTGCAGTAGATCTCATTTAAGCAGTATGAAAAGCCTTGCTTTCTAGTTTCTTGGTTTAGAACTTCTGATCCTACTGCACCCAAAAGAAAAAGCTTTTATTGGACAGTGCTTCACCCTAAAGCCTTAGGAAGTATCACCCCATGTTCCCATTTTGAATCGTTGTGAAATTACGCAGATTTACACCGCTGCTGTTACAAAACTCAGCACAAAAAAGGTGAATTACCTTCTGCATGCAGATAGATGTTACCAGCCTTCTAAGTTGCTAGAAAATATAAAAATTTTATATCCCTTTTAACAGCAGTTACACAAAGAGAAAGGGAGTCTGCGCTTCATCTTTATAACCGCGAAAGGTCTTGTGTTGTGCAGTCAATAGCTTTTGGAAAGAGAGTAAATACACCCCTGGGGACTGCAGTGGGATCTAGCAGATGCACTCAACCAGCCAGAAGACTGATGATGCCCTCAGGTATTTATAATAATGTAAGGAAAAGCATACATTTTCAAGTGATTTGGATTAGAAAAAGTTCTTTTCACTCATCTGATAAAAAGTTATTGGTTTTAGTAATAAAGTATAAACGCATCAGGAACTCAACCAAATGGCTTCATGAAGTAAGTAGTAGTAGCAGCAACAGGCAACAAATGAATCTACTAAGAGTACTTTGGTAAATAAGTTCTAGTCACTCCCTCTGGTTACAAAATTGTCTTTAAAGATAGCTGAACAAACAAAATTTCTTTTTTTTTTCAATATGTGTCTTGTGAGTGTTTAGTTTTAGTTTTATTTAATTAAAAACATCTCAATACACTTTTAGGCTGTCTCAGACAGTGATCAGCATCATAGAGTTTTGATGCCCTCTAGTGCTTTTATGAAATAACCTCCTGAAGAAAGTATTTTCTTCTAAATAATGTTTTAAATTTTAGATATCTTGCCTAGTTTTGCAAGCAGATTCCTTTTTATGCTTTCCAAGCTGAGAATATTTTAATGATGTCTTATAATAGCATCTCAAGTGATTTTTAGAGTTCTTAAAACATTCAGATCTGGAAGACAGCGTGATCCTGGCACAAGAAAGCAGGTGAATACCACCTGGAACCTTGTGACTCGTACCGTATGACAATCCAGAACAAACCTTGAAATCCCACACAATCTGATCTGCTTTTTTGACGTTTTAAAGATAAGAAAAACAATAGTGTGCATATATGACTGAAATGGTAGCATTTTAAACAGTAGTGTAGATGAAATTTGGAACAGTAATAAAATAACTGATTTTTTTTTTTAAATCTATATGTCACAATAGTGACCCTGAAAGCAGTGTGTTTAACAGCAATTTGGAAAAGGTTGGGAAAAAAGAGATCGTTTAATCATACTTAATAATTTAATTGTTTTACTGATAATTGTCAAAGTAAGCATACAATTGTCTTTATCTGTACCATGCAATCATTCACATACATAGACAGTGGCATCATTTTTCTGTGAAAGAAAAAGGTATGCATGGAAATGTATGTCTACGGGAAATAAAATACAAGAACTGCATAAACTTAAAATAAATCCCAACAGATACTTGTTTCCACAGTAATTTAATAAAAGATGATCTTGAACATTTCAAATCATCTGCTAGTTTGCAGTTCATTTGAACAAGTAATTTAGGATCCTTAGTAATGAGGATGATAATCCTCAGCTAATCAAAATGCTGTACAGCCATTAATATCTTAATTTGTACTTTTTGTTATAGGTTATGAATTTGGAAATCACACAAATAAGTAAGTAACTTTTTGGACTTTTTTTTTCTTTTGCACCTCTGAAGTATTTACTTAATTTTCTCTTCTCATGCCTAAAAAATGCCCTAACCAGAGAAAACGTCCAGTAAAAATGAGCTTTTGAAAAATTTTCTGGTCTTTCGTATTTAACATAGTTGCAACTCTATACTATTCTGATGAGACAACCTACCTGCTGCTGTCTGAAATTTAATATTGAAAGGTAGTCCACATTTGGAAATGGGTATATAAAAATGCTATTTATTTATAAGATCAACTACTGATCACTAGAAAAAGCATGCTTTAAGTATTAGAGCATCAGAATAGCTGTTCTATATTATGGCCCAGACAACTTTCTCCTCACTGGCTCTTCAAAAACACATACTCTCTGGAAAATATTACTGACTTGTAGAATGAAACTTTTTTAGTCTGTACTTCATGTTACTTTTATTCTGTTTGGCTTCAAAATCACAGAAATAAATGTAAAACTTATCTCTGTTATCTCTGTGTCTGGACTGAGGTAGTATAAAGGTTGCATTTTGATGTGACGACATTTTTAGATGCTATCTTTATAAAAGTAAATTTACAAACTTCAGATTTCAGGCTTGTTTATACTTTCTAGCTTTACCTATGAAAATATTTCAAAGATTTATTAGAGGAAATAATGAAAGCCTACATATGATGGTATCCTTTAACAATTTGATTTTATATAGCTACTCACTTTGAATACAGCTCTTTACAATCATCAAGCTAATTTATGTTTAAAAATGAATTCACACTGCTTTCGGTGGAGTTAGCTGTCCTCATCGACACAATGGATGCAGAGCTTCCTCTCCATCTTATTTATGTAGATGCTTGGGCTTTGCAAGGTACCTGAGTATGCAACGAAGTGTGTTATACTTGGTGGAAATAGTCACATAGTTTATATCAGGTGTGTGTTGCTACAGGTACATCTTTATGAAATAAGTTCTTATAAGATCAGATTTTAATATTGTATCAGAGTTAAAAGGTTTTGGTCTAACATGACGTCCTTGTCAGTTCTGCGTTGATGTTGTGCGTCTGCCATTTTTCTCTCCCAGACTGCAGCTGTGGCAGGATACATGAAAAACACAAGCTCACAGTGTTCTGCATTCAGAGCTTGGAGAAGGGATATTTGCATGGTGGCTGGTTAAAAGATCTGCGGTGAAATAAATGTGCATTTGCATGAATGGGTATCATATCACTATGAAATCATAAAATTAGTTTTATGATTTCTATTGAATCAGAGCATTAAAAGTGTACAACAATTATAATTTTTGTGGAAAAAAAAAGCAGTGAAAACAAAATAAGATTTTTAAGTCTACTATAAATGTATTTTAAAAAATTTATAGCGTGATTTTTTTTCCTTAGAATCCTGTGATTCTGACCTTTTCTCATTTTGGTTTGCTTTCTTAAATTTGGTAAAAGAAGGAAACCTTCTGAAAATTTAAAATTTTCAAATCCTCACTGTTAGTGTCATTATGACTTCTAACTTCACTTTCTACACAGAGTGCGTGTGGTAAATTAGCTCCAAAGGAGTTCGGAATCATCCAGATAATGCGCATTTGCTTTGTTCTTTTTGCAGAATACCATCTGAGAACCCCGAAGATGCCGTTTTACTACGGGCAATGACAAGATCTCTAATGGAATTTTCCTCTGTTGACTGGAACAAAGTAGCCACCTGTCGAGAAAGACGGCTGGAAAACAAAGTAGAAGAACCCCATGAGAAGCTGACAGTCCAATTTAGATGAGTGCTTTCTTCCTTAAGAAAAAAATTATTCCTCTCTCTAGTGTGGAGATAAGCCTCTTAAGTAAGTTAATATCTCTATAAAACAAGTACACTAAAACATGCATCTAATTAAATGAACTTCCAGCCAAAAAATTATTAGTGTAACATTTCTTTTATCATCAGATATGTAATATGGAGAATGAAGAAATTAAGAAAACAAATGATAAATAGTGGCAATGTTTCAATGAAAGTTGCTTGAAATGCAATTCTTACCATACTTTTGTTATCAGAAATTATTAAAGCTAAACTGCAGTTAATTTTTAAGAAACTAAGGATAAAGAATTTCATTCCTTATAGTTTCTACTGGAGAATTAGACTTACCGTGTTCACTAGCGTAATTTGTCTTCCTCCATCAAAATAAAGATATGAGAAAGCAACCATTAAGCTTTTCTCATTTCTGAGAGGGATTGAAGTTTCAATTTGTTAATTTGTGTGCTGCACGAATGCGCTGAAAACTCTTAGTTTTATGAGGATACTCATTTGGTCTCAATACAGTGCAACCATGAGCTCTTCAGCATGCTGGTATCGATAGCTGTTGTCTGTGGCTGCTAATACTCTCCCAGGATGCAGGCCTCTGCTTACTGGTCCTTCTGGAGAGACGGGACTTGCCATACACGATGCACTGCCCCAAGACGGCTGACTGGTTTTAACACACTCTCTTTTATAACCGCGTGGGTCATACAATGCTGTAGCACTACACCTGACACTTTTGGCTTCTAAAGCCAGTTAGCACTAAGGAAGCTAGTGGGAGATGGGCATATAGATGGAAAATAATACATTTCCTCACATCTTTCTCCCTCCATTCTGCCAAAGGCTTAAAGCCAATGCTACCTGACATATCTAGGCCCTTCTTCAGCCTGTGACTTGTCTTCTGAGTTCATTCTTTCTCTCCTAAGTTAGCACAGAGTCACAGGACAGGCTAGGTTGGCAGGGATCTCTGGAGCTTACCTAGTCCAACCTTCCTGTTGAAAGCAGGGTCTGAGATTAGGTTATCCAGTGCCCTGTCAAGTTATTGATTAGGTTATCCAGTGCCCACTCTCTATTTCAGTGTTTAATTGCACTCCAGAGTGTTTTTCTTATATTCAGATGGAATTTCACTTGCAACAACTTGGGCCTGTTGGCTATTGTCCTGTCACTGTGCATACCCCATCTTCTCTATAACTACCTCTAGGTATTGTAAGACTGTGATTAGATCTCCCCAAATCTTCTTTTCTCTGGGCTGAACAAACCAAATTCCTCCAACCTTCTCATCGTCATGATGGCACCCTCACTGGACCTCTTTTGTTTTTTAATGTCTCTCTTGAGCTGAGTTGACCAAAATGGGACACTATTCCAGGTGTGGCCTAGCAGCTGCCAAGTCAAGTGGAATAATTCCACTTTCGATCTGCTGGCTGTACTATACTTTTGTCTTCACCGATGCATGGCACCATTTACCTTTGGTGCTGCCAGGGCATACTGCTGGCTCCAGGTGAGCTTGCTGCCCACCAGGACCCCCAGGTCCTTTTCAGCAGATCCCAGCCTGTACTGCTGCGTGGGATTACTCCATCCCAGATACAGGACTTTATCTTTGTTAAATCTTGTAATTCCTTTCGCCTTTTTGGTGTTAGATTCCTTCCTTTTTGATTTCAACTTCCCTATTTTTTCTTGCTTAAAGTTCCATGCATTTTGTAAATGCCCTTAAATTAGCCACATCTTTGTGGTTTTAAAAGGTAGATCAACACCTTGGTTTTGATTAGGTTTCAAGAATGTTTAATTTCTCAAATGGAATCAGTCTACAGGGAAGTTAGACCAAACTAAGCTTCGGCTAACATGTTTTCTTAAAGAGGTCCTCTAAGTAACTGTCCATTAGGATTTAATAAGTGTAGTCCCTGGTTTGTCTTGAGTCTCTTGAACTCTGACAGCTGACTCTGCTCATGGATGTAGTCTATGATGTAATCATTTCATAGCAGCAATTTCACAATGCCAGAATCTATAGATTTTACATGTCAGACACGGAAAAGGCTGAATTTAAGAGATTTTTCTCTGAAAGCAGACTGTATCCCACTTGGAACTTGGAGCTAGGCTCAGGTAGTAAGCAATGTCATTTCAGAGTAAATTTCATTGATTTCAAATTTTTGGATCAAATTAGAGGCACAGTATTTCTGGCCTGGAATATTTTTCTGCCCCTGTCTTCTTTTGATTAAAGAAAAATTAAAGTGAAATGAAGAATTTTTTTCAGTTTTCTGCTTAAAGAATGCTGCAATGCAATGTTTCAACATAAAGAATTTTATTACAGAATCTTTTTTAACAACTAATCTAACATTTTCCCCAAACAATATAGATTTTGAAAAGAAAAAATATATTTTACAGGAGTAGCTGTTAAAGAAGTTTAACATGACTTCTTGCAATCTTTTTTAGCATATAGATGGGCTCAGAGAAGACAATGAGTTAATTTATACATATATAATCTTTGACGGTGAAAAGTCCATCAAAACCTCTTAGATTTTTTGGCCCTCCCACTGTTGCACACAAGTGTCCCAGGAATACACAGATTAAACAAAAAAACCCCTACGGTGGCATCCAGAAGCTCTTCATTGTAATGTTTGCTACCTGTTCACATTTGTAGTTTGTAAATGTTGGATGCTGTCCAACAAGCCACAAGTCAGTAGAATCGCCAACTGCCAACATGTCCACCTTGCTTAAAAGGCAGTGCTTTCCATATACTCATCCATTTAAGCTTTGTCAAAAGATTTGAGTCTGTTTTAGAGCCATTAGTGAAAAAGGAATAATGTTAGCTATTTATATACAAAGAAATACTCAAATTACAAAGGTAATTTCAAATTTTGCTGAGAATTCCCTTTAGTTAGATGAAGAAAAACCTAGAAAATCTACCTGCATCAAAAATATAAAGTGATTTGAACACGCAACATTTAGTTCACTAGAAGATATGCTCAGATAGTTTCAGAAGCTTTTATATATTCCTAATTCAATCAAATTTCCCAGGGTGAAAAGAGAGTTGATATTAAAAAACACTTGGCATTAAAGTAAACTAGGGAGCAAGAACTGTGATGAAGCAAGCTAGACAGATTCACAGCTGCTCTGCTCTTATACGTAGCAAAACAGCTGAAGTGAAAATTCCATTTTTCCTAGTGGAGGGGAGAAAAGTCTTTTGAATCACACACCCCTGAAGGTGCAAGAGTGTGTCTGTTGGCTTTGCGCTCCGCAGCTGTCTTGTCACTTAAAACCTTGCTTAAGGAATCAGTAAATTGCTTATGGATTTTCATCCTACTTTAAGTTCCTTATAAGTAACATCTCACGAGATGTTTCCTCCAATTCATGATTATGCATGAGCTAGTCATTACCCCAGGTTTATGCAGGACCTATCAACCATGATCTTCCACCAGAAGAGCTGTCGCCAGCTCAAGCTGAGGAAGGCAGAGGTAGCTCTGGAGCGCCAGCGTGCACCGGGACCCTAACTTGGATTGCAATTGCTCTCCTCTGAGGCTCGCTGCAAAGAGAGGGAAGCGTGGCAGCCTCTGCTCATAATGACTTTGAAGCCCTTTCAAGTTAGAATGAGAACAAACGCAACTGTATAATCTGCGTCAAAGATCCCACACTTCACACCTATTTCCAATGTTCATACTTTCTCCTATCATCGCTTGGGCTTTTCTTCTTCATCAAGAAAAAGCATTGGCTGGCAGAATGAAAGCAGGATTTGTGCTGTGGATTTTACCACACTTCTAAAATCCTGAAACATTTGTCCTAAAGGGCTCGCGTTTTCAGAGAAATCTTAAAGAGCAACACATCTCATTGCGCCCCAAATGCTACGTGTAGAATAGGGAACCAGCAGCACTTCTGCATTCCCAGATCCAAGAGTGGACGGTGACTACATTGTGACTCCGTATCTAAGTTCCAGGCACGCATCTCTTGCTTGCCAATTGTCATGAAACTAAACTTGTACACCCGAGCTACAGGAGGCCCATGCCTGTCAAATGGGAACATCACCGTATGTCCTAACAGGCGTTACAGATGCAGTAAACAGAATTGTCACGCAGCTCCCTTCTTTTAAAAAACTTCCCTTTATTCTTCACAATTTTCTAATCCTTGAAATTAAAACACAGGTACATTCCCTGCACAGGTGCGCTTATGTATCCTCACTTTTACAGTTTTCAGAATATTAAACAAAAACTTTCAATATATTAAATAGTAAAAAATTAATAGCATTTTTCCTCCATTTCCTCTAAGGATGGTCCTTACTCCTCTAAGTTGAAGGATATTGCCATGTTCAAAACACCAATTATTCATCCCACAATTAGATAATCTCAAATTTTGCCATCCTTATGCAGCAAGTGATATTTTTGGTTGTGGCATTCCCACTGATTTCATGACACACAGTAGTAAATCTGAGTGAAAACAGCAGTTAAGGGAAAGTATTTTCTAGATACGGTATTTAGTTGAAAGCCTAAGTGAAATCCCAGTTGTATCAATGCACACATGAATTCTCCCATCTAATTCACTGTGACCAGATTCAGCGGGAGCAATATTAAGCATCTTTTGTGTTTATGAAATAATTCATAAGCAACATCCCAGTGTGCTCTGAGGCATCTTTACCTGAAAGCTGAAATTTAAAAACCATTATTCTTGTCAGTCAAAATACTTTAAATCATTCTGGTTCTTCCCTTCATTAGACTTTGACAAACTTGGAATATTTTTGACTAAACCAACAGTGAAATAATTCTGTTGAAACACACATTTCACAGTCAGCTTGAGACATCTGAAACAGCAGTATCATTTAATAAAATTGCCACAAAATAGACACTATTGGTGTGCACTCACTAGTCAAAAATATTTACAGTAATGTCATGAAAAGTTGAGAGTTCAGATGAGTATCTTCAGAAACTTAACTGCTACTGAATTCCTTCAGATAAAGCTTTATAAAGTGGTGCAAAAAAGCAATTTAACAGTTGGCTTCCCAATGCTTTT